CCCTACTTGGACATGGCCGCGCATGCCTATAAAACCAGCTGCTTGGGAAGATGAGGCAGGAGGATCAAAACCCTGAGGCCCAGCTGGGCCATTTAGTGAGACCTACTCTCAAAATAAAAAGTAAAAAGATAGTTGCTGTAGCTCATGGTAGAGTACTTGCCTAATATGTGCAAGGCCCTGGGTTTAAGCCCAAGTACCGCAAAGATAAGTAAATAAATATTGTAAGAAGAAAAAAGAATGACTCCTAATTCTTTGGCTTTAACAACTGGAAGGATAATGGTATAAATTACTTGCGGGGGGGATCAGACTTTAGGAATGAAAATAAAGCATTCCATCTCATCTTGGATTTTTTTTCAAATTTGTGTTAGACACTGAGTGGACACGCCAAGTATTCAGCTGGATACACAAGTCCAGAGCATAAAGAAGCAAGGTCAAAGGCTCAGCATCTAATTTAGGAGTCCTAAGTAAACAGATGATATGTTAGTTTGCTATGACCATATAACCATTCCCAACAGCCAGTGGTATAAAGCAACAATTTATTTTTGCTCACATGTGACATTGGCTGGAGTCCAAACTGGGCATCGTTGTTTCCATCTGCGTTGTCTGCTCTTATCTCTCACGTCTCTTGGGACCCGAAGGCCAGCCAGGCGTTGGCTGTGGTAAGCGGAGAGGAAGCTTGGGAGGCCCGTGATAACCTCTGCCTCTGTAGTATGTCGTTCCCCAAAGCAAGTTCCATGCCCAAGTCCCAAGTCAAGGGCAGAAGTGTACTCTGCCCTGATGACACCTTGGACACAGGAAGCAGGGGTGGGACTGAAATGAGTGTCAGCCATGTAACCCCTGGAGCGAGGGCAGAAAAAAGTCCGGGCCTCAACACATCCCTCAGGCACTTTAGCATTTGCTAGCTAGCTATAAACAGAAAACAGCAAGGCTTCAGAAAGAGCAGCAAGTGCAGTTGGAAAATAATTAAGGGGACCTGAAAGAAATAAGAGAGAGGAACATACTGAGGAGACTGACAAATGTCCCTGCGAAGTTAAGTAAGAGGTAAATGGAAAAATGGCTGTCATGCTGAGAAACCAGGTCTACCAAGCCAAGGTTTCTACGACAGGAGGATGCGAGAGGGGAGAGGTTACAGCCACAGCCTCTCATGCTCGGTTCTCACACAGCAGGAGGGCAGATTTTGTGGGGACACTGAAAACTACCATTATAGCTCAGCAGTAGAGCATTTGCCTATCATGCCCCAGGCCCTGGGTTTCAGCCTCAGCACCACCACAGTAGCCACCACTGCCAAAAACAACAGCAGCAGGAAAAGAATAGTAAAATAGTAGGATTAAGAAGGAATAAGGCAATTCTAAGTCTGGAAAGGTTGCATAAGGCCAGACTGTTGAGACTCTTGGATACCTGGTTAAGAAGTTGGAATTTGGTCCTTTAAAAGAGTCATCCACATCTATCTGGGCAGGAAGGGATCTATATCAAGATTGTTTTTAGGAAGAAAAACAGACCTGCAGTATAGATGTATTTGGTGGCAAAGAGGCCAGAGGTCCTGGTTCTGTTGGTCAGACTTCTTGCCTGGGTCTGAACCTCTCACGAGAGCCCCCCATTCTCTTACACTAACTTCCAGATGTTTGTGTGGCTGACACCTCTCCTGCCTGCTTCCTCCTGGTCCGGCTGGTCTTCGCTGCTTTCTGATAACTATCCAATCGGCATCCGGTCTTTACTTTGGGTCTCATCTTCCACCTTGGCATTTACTCATTTAAGAGAAGTGTCATCTTTTCCCATTACCACCTAGGAAAATGACTCTACTAAGAAGACCCAGGAAGTCATCTGGGAACCACAGCCTGGCTTCTTAGGCCAGGCTGCCTTTGAGACATGTCCTCCACATCCCTGCGGCTCTCCTCCCCCAGCCCTGTCCCCATCCATTCTCCCAGACAGTAGAGACACCCTACTGTCCAGAAAACTCCCAGCTCCCTCAATGTTCACAGAGCTCGGAAGAGGGGAACGGCCCTGACGTGCTGGCACAGGCCCGATTCCTTCTCCCCTAGGCGGCCTCACCTCTGGCATGGCACCGGAGGGGTTCTCCACCTTGTGCAAAAGCTGGTCCTATCTAATGTCTCACCTGGCCCCTGTGTGACTCTTAGCAGCAGGCTAAGGGGAAGAAGTGTTGAACAAAGCAGCGATCCTGAAAAGCCATTGCTACGTCCACTCTGCGGCTTAATCTCCACCATTTCCCAAAAGGCCTAATGGAAAATACACCATCAGATGTCTCTCATGATGAAATACGATCCATACTATTACATAGTAATTTGGCTTGGGAACTTTTTCTCCATTCTCATGCCTGAGCTTCAACAGAGCTACAGAAAGATGAACAGGTGGCATTTCAAGAACACCCAATTTCTTGAAGCGAGCTATAGTTACAAATGCAAAGTCATTATTGGATCTCTGCTAGGATTTTCTTGTTGATTTTATAGAACCATGATGATTCTGAAAAGCACATACATCCTCGGTTGCTGTGCATGGTATTTTCCTATTGTCTGCCCTCCAAATATTCCTTAGCTGATTGGTCCTAGTGGTGACTAGAAAATCATAAAACTACAAATTAGAAAGTAATGACATTGACATTCAAATCAGACACACACACACACACACACACCAGTGTAAAATCAAATAATTTGGCCTTAACTCTGGTTTTACTGCTAACAAAGAATTGGATTCGGCAAAATGGGAAACTGGCAACTCTTCTGGGTAACTGCCATCTAGCAAAAATGTGCTTCCCTAAACTCAACAGGATCTCTTCTGCCAAGGCTGTTCGCGGGAAGGCTTTTCCCCCATAAAAGGACACGCGCACTGTCTCGGATTCCACCGCGCCTGGAGCCCAATCAGGTCCCTCAACACAGAGTGCTTTGTAATCTTGCCTCTAAGGAAAGCTGTGCTACCCACCAGATGACAGTACCCTTTTCTCACATCACACCAGACAAATCCTTAACCCTGGCCTCTGCTGTCGGGCCATTTCATCATCACATTAATCTCATAGTGTGATATCCAGACCTGATAACTGCTGCCCACCGGAACTAGAGGCTCTGGAGTCTGAGGCACCACGCTGCTCCCTTCCGCCATGGCTCCCCCTAGTGGCCGAGTTTCTGCGCTCAGCTGGCCCCTTTGCCTTCAGCGTTAGTCCTTAGATTCCTAGAGTTACTTCTTAGCCTTTGTCCAAGAGCATTCACAGGAGTGTCTCTACCTGCTGACATAGGTCATACCTCAAAGCTCTTTCCAAAAACAAATTTTAATTAAATTTGCATTAAAAACTAGGCAAAGGAGTGTATATAGTCACACTCAAAGATGCTACTTAGGGCCGGGGATTTAGCTCAGTGGTTCCACCACCTGCCTCACAAAGCGTAAGGTCCTGAGTTCAATCCCCAGTACCAAAAAATAAAGATGCTACTTAGACTCTGCCCTTTGGGTCTCTGAAGCAAGACATGGGCCCGTTGACAAGTTTTCAGTCCCAAGTCCTTGAATGTGTTCTTGGCCTTTTCTCCATGGCTCATATCCTGACTGTGGCCTCCAGAAAAAATAGGGACACATGAGCAAAACTAGCCCAGTCCTTCTCAGTTCCTGGTGCAGACCCTCACTGATCAAGGAATGGTGCCCACAACTATAGCCTATGCAGGAAGCATCATCTGGAGTGTTTATTGAGCAGCTGCTCATGCCCAGTACAGCAGTTCCTGGGACTCAACTATTCTCCCTAGTCCTGACTGGTATCAGCAAGAGGCTGACTGAAACACTGGCTTTCCCAGCCCCCTGGCCCTCCAGTAGCTATGGCTCCACACTGGGTAACTGCGCCGGCCAGCGGAGCAGGCCCAGGCCACAGAAGAACCCAGGTAGATGAGGTACAGCTGACTCTTCCCGCCCCTCTCTATCTTCCAAAAGCTGCAGAGTAAACACTGCCCTTAGGGAATGGTCACTATTGTGTACTCTCCCTTCTTGGCTCTTACCTCATGTCTGCTGCGTTGACTGTAAACACCGACCAACTGCCAAGATAGAGAATAAAACTACCAGGAAACCCAACATCGCTGTTTGTTTAAAGATGGCAGGAAAAGGTCCCGTATGGCTCAGTGCTCCTGTGATTCCTGCTCTGTTAGATATTAAATCCCAGAATCCAGAGCCCTTCCGTCTCCCTGCCAACTGACTAGAACACTGACCTTCAGCCTCTCGACTGGTGCCCGTGTGCCTCCCCTCCCCTCTTTTTCCTTCTTTTCTCTTCCCAAGATCCTGCAGTCAAAATAGCATTATATAATGATCCAAAAGAATACCGCAGCATGTTTCTTCCTTATACTTCTACCCACCCCGGGGAAGGGAATGTCTTGTTGATTATCCCAGCCTGCACATAATTTGTGGCATAAAAACATTCCTGTCAAGTAATCCTCCCTTAATATATTCCCTTTGCCATTGTAAACTAAGACATGACCTTCAAGCCATAATACCCAGACAATAAAACATTTGTGTTCTTTAATTAGCTTATTACTTTTGTTAATGTACATTCCTGTGGTTACACTACTTTCCACTTAACCTGAAAAAAAAAATATTATATGAGATTACCAACTTTTTTTACCAATGGGTCCACAGGCTTAAAAAAAAATTTCTCTTAGCAAAGGTCTCTTAATGTTTCGAGGCTTATTGCATAACAATAGCTAATTTGTTAAGTCCTAGAAAATGATAACAACAATAAGTCTTTGTGCAAACTTTTGGCATACTGGAGATTTTTGGTTAAATAAGAGGAGGGTGGCAGTTGGTTGAGGTGGACAGCGGGATCCGGGCCAGAGTGTGGCACTGCTACTGCATGACAAGGAAGCAGGCAGTCAGAAAATGGGTAAGAAGAGTTGAGTTAAAAACTCGGAAATCAGGCCCCGGGGCCACAGCCAGTGTGTCTCTGAAGGAAATCTTGAACCTGACCTGTGAACTGTTGCAGAAATGCAGCAGTCCAGCACCCAGCCCAGGAAAAGAACTGGAAGAGTTTGTGCAGCTCCCATCTCTGGTTGAGAAAATATGGAAAAAGCAAAAAGGTCTGTCTGTTACTTTTGATGAAAAAAGAGATGATTACTTTCCTGATCTAATGAAACGGGCCTCTGAAAATGGGGCCTCTATTCTGAAATGGTTAACTTTGAAGAAAGAGGGCTTTGGTTTGAGTGCAACAAGAGGCATCAAAGCAAAAGAATTGTTTTTATGGCTTCCTCGAAAATTACTAACGACTGTTGGATCTGCTAAAAATTCAGTATGGGGGCCCTTACGTTCTTGAGACCGAGTTCTTCAAGTCATGGGAAATACCACTCTGGCCCTCCATCTGCTGGGGGATGAGCAAGCCTGACTCTTTCTGGTTGCCCGCATTCAGGCCCTCCCAGGTGAGTACCACACTCCTCTCTACTTTGAAGAGGAAGTTTGCTGTCTTCAGTCAACACAAGCTACCCACGATGTCTTCAGCCAGTGTAAAAACACAGCTCTGCGTGTCCTGTAGTTATCCAGGCCAATCTTCACACCAGCAAACTGCCCTTAAGGGGTTCTTTCCATCGGGAGGACTGTGGGCAGGTGGTCTTTCATGTGATGACTCGACAACACCAAATTCCCACGGAGGACCGTTCCCAGTGACCCTGGCCCTGATTCCATGGTGGATCTTGCGCAGCCACACCCATGGCTTGATAGCCGTCTCCCCCCAGGCTCAGTCCGGAGGCTCTGCTGAGCCCTCACGTGGACGCCTGTGCTTTTGAAAGGACTCAGAGCTTCAGCTTGCCCCCTCCTGGGTCTTCTCTTCCACTCCACTCACTTCGAGGTGAAAACTAGGAGCCGAAATCTCACACCACTGCAGAAACCACAGCGGAGTGCATTTATTTGCTAAGCCATAATTCCAGCCTGCACATGCACTGACTCACCTTGCTAGAAAACAGGCTCAGCCAAAATTTCCTTATTCTTTAAAAAATACTAATTTAGGGCCGGGGATTTAGCTCAGTGGTTCCGCAGCCTACCTCGCAAGCGTAAGGACCCGAGTTCAATCCCCGGTACCAAAAAAAAAAAAAAACAAACTAACTTATTGAAGACCCTCCTTGCTTTCCCTTTTCCATTCCTTTCCTTTTTCCGAGGCTTTCCTGTCCCCTGATGTCCCCTGCCTGGGGGAGGGTGGGCCGCGGGGAGGCGGGGCTTCCTTGCAGACCTTCCCGGCGCTGGGCCTGGAGGACAGGGCCCCTCCTCAGCACTCACAGTCACGCAGTCCAGGTGGCAGCTTTCTCAGAGCTGACAGGGAGCGAGAAATATGATGAATTCCAGGTCATGTTAGAATTCTAAACACTGGACTAGTCTACTGGCTTGTTTTGCGTTCACCTTTTCTTGACGCCAGCTTTCTTTGTTATTAGCAGTGTAACGAACGATTAAAGAAACACTGTAAACGAGTGTAACATCTAATTCCACAGAACGGTCAGAGCCCGTGTGCCGTGTGCCAAGCACTGAAGCATCTGTAATAAATCCCTTTACGATTTAGCGTTTGTGTTCTATTTTGTTTCATTTTCTTCTTTTTTTCTTTATGGGGGGGCGGTCAGGGGATTGAACTCGGGTCCTTGTGCTTTCAAGGCAGGCGGTAACACCACTGAGCTAAATCCCCGGCCCATGCCAAGCACTTAAGATAGTCTATGTGCCTGCCGATTGGAGAAGGCCTAGCAGCAAGCACTCTCTGGAATCTCAAAAACATTTCAGTTGTAACAAGAAAGAATACTGTAGTTCCATTTTTGTAATCATTACATTTCACCTTCATTTAGATATGCTTGATTTAATTCGCAGTACTAAGAAATAGCAGCATGGTTTGTATTTTCGTTAGTGAACATAATTTTACATTCTTTGTTCTCCCTCCCCCTTCAGAGATGTTTTTGACTGATCCTAAGCTTGAAATTTTAAAATTTTCAAATAGCGAAGGAAAGAAAGAAAGAAACAAAGAAACAAAGAAAGAAAGAAAGGGTGTGTGGGGTGAAGGTTACAGCAGAGACCACTGTCATTTTGGAATCCTCTAATCCCCACTCTAAATGATTGTAGCAAATCGGTTAGTGACCCACCTGTACCAGAGAAGCTAATTCAGTAAATCAGAGGGGTTATTCCACGTCGTCTGCACGCTCAAACGAGGGCGGGGGGAGACTGGCTTCAACAAATCCTTAGTTTTCCAGCCAAAGGCCTTTCAGAGGCGTCTTGGCTGCCTGACGAGACGTCTGGGATTGTGAAAGCAAATCTGGTGAGCTGGAGGAAGAGGGGCCTTCCGAGTTACCATAAAAAAAGGAGCTCTGAACCGGATCGCTTGTGCCGCGCTCTGCCTAACTCTCCGTTAGTCATATAATGAGCTAATAGTTATTATCTCCAGTTTATATATGAGGAAACTATGACTAAAAAGGATTATGAAACTTGCTCAGAGTCGGGCCACGGGGTAAGGAGGGATCTAGAGTGTCAACCCTTCCACGATGTTCACGTTATAAGACAGGGTACAGAGGGGGCTGCTGACTTTTATCGCAGATTCCAGTCCAGTCCATGTAACCCAAGGACTCAGGCCCCTGTGCTGATGGCGTTGAGTTATTCGGGGATACAACAGATATTTTTGAGTAAATACTATGCACCAGGTACTGATCTAAGTGCTCTAGGTATAGCAGTAAATAAAGACAACGCCTCTGCCTCACTGAGTCTCCACTCTGCTGAGGGGAGATAAGCAATTAAGTCCATAATCATGTCAGCCCTTAATAACTGCTCTGAAGAAAACTAAAGTGTAAGAAAGAAAGGCGAAAACTATCATTACTGATACTTCACACAGACAAGCCAGGAAGGCCTCTCAGATAAGAAGGCACTGGAGCTGGACTTGGCGGTCACAGCCTGAAATCCCAGCTACCTGTGAGGCCAGGGCAGGAGGACACAAGTTCAAGGACAGCCTGGGCAACCTAGCAAGACCCTGACTCAAAACATAATCTGAAAGGGCCAGGGACGTAGCACAATGGTAAAGTACTTGTCTGGCGTGCTCAAGGCCCTGAGTTCAACCCACAGTACCTCAAGAAGCAGGAGGAAGATGACGATATTGTGATAAGGACGGACGGAAAGGAGGGGAAGAGGGAGAAAATGAGAAGGACTCTCAAGGATGGGGGTCATCGGGATGCTGTCTACATGTAGGGAAAAGCACTGAAGATGGAATGGAAGATGGAAGTTGAAGGGAGGAGGTAAAATGGAGTGTCAGGGAGGGAGGTGATCGTGAAGGACCCTGCAGATCCTGAAACATTCGGGTTTCACCCCGTTGAGATGGGAAGTCTGTGGGGCTTTCAGCAGGGTGACATACTCTGGTTCACATTTTAAGGGACTCGCTCTTAGCCAGGCAACTTCCTGTCCCAAATACAAATAGAATGAGAGGCAACTGCCAAGAGTATGGGTGTGTGAATTCCACAGATCTGTGTCCAATCCTTGGCTCTTATCATCAGCTCACTCTGTCAGCTCCGGGAAGTCATTTCAGCTTCAATTCCTTCTACCTCAAAAAGAGAATATTCTAACCCACTCTACAGGGTTACTAACAAAATATCTGCAAAGCACCTGGAACACAATAGTTAGCCTTAAAAGACAAAAATAACCAGGTATTGTATCTAACTAACACAACAATTAACTATTGAATTACTTCCTCATTATTAAAAAATAATATAGCCAGGGATGTAGCTCAGTGGTGCCACCCGCTGCCTCGCAAGCACAAGGTCCTGAGTTCAATCACCAGTACCAAAAAAAAGCCAAAAAAAAAAAAAAAAAAAAAAAAAAGGAAAAAGGGGAAAGAAAAAAAAAAGGAAAAGAGATTATTCTGTTTATATCCAAGTTTTACTTCTGTTTTGGACTGGAGTCTGACCAGACCTGTATAAGAAAAATTTAAAAATTACTATAGGAATATAAAACAAGACAAAACAATAATGCAAGAAAAAAATGGGCTCTTTTTCTCTCTCTCTCTCAAAAAAAAAAATAACTATCCTGTGGAATTTTTAAGAATGTGCAGAATTCACCTAAGTAATATAATGAATCTTAGCTTAGTGCACTTTCAATAATTAGCATTTATTCAATCTTAGGTTATCTTTTTTT